TAAAACCCTGGGAAAGAAAATAGACATGAAAGGTAGAACATCAGCAGTTACTTGAGCTGTAATTAGCCTGGAGAGGGAATGTGAGGGAGAGGTCTGCAAGGGGGTAGGAAAATAGAGAGAAAGCAGGTATCTCAGCACATTGCCAGCACTGTGCCAGGGAGATGTACCCTTGTGGGTAAGTGCTTATCAAACAGACGCTTAATTATCTATCATTCTTGGGTTTGCTTATAGAACTTGCTAGTTTGCTGGTTCAAATAGACAGAATCCTTGGCACGTATATTCTCCTCATAAACAAATTGCATTGCATTTCCAGTTTCACACCTGTCTCCCAGGAGCTGTTCCTCTCAGGTGAACTGATCATTCGGGTAGATGTCTAGCCCACGTGTATGGAGGTACTGAGTCACAGCTATGTGACTGGGCCGATGACTCTCCTGTGAAATGTCAGGTGGGCTAACAAGACCTCTATGTCTTGCACGATATTATTTTCTTTAACGTTTTGTGGAGATACATTAAATGTAGAGAGGACTACACAACCCATGTGAATAAATCTTGATAAATTCCCTCACTGTAAACAGACCCAGTCAGCTGCCTTGGATGAAGCAATAGAATGTTCCTGACATCAGGAGGGTACCACCTGCTCCTAATCAGTCACTTCTGCTTTTCTTATATGTGACCATTATGTTGACTTTTATCATTGTTGGTACTGTTTTGGCTGCCTTCCTTTAGCACTGCTGTTAGTACCTGTGGACTCTGAAGATCCCAAGGTGCCATAAGGGTCTGGCCTTCCTGGGAAGGTGTTATATGTTCACCTCTTGTCAATGCTAACACACAGCACCTGATCAGGAATAGGGTGGGCCTTTTAAAAACAATTAACTAGTGTACGGTTGGAGGCCTCGTGGAAACACCAAGTGAAGGTAGAGTAAGCCAAAGAGCACTCAAGATTAACAGCAAAGCACACAGAGCCAGAGATGAGGATCATCCCCACAACTCTCAGAAGGAGCATGGGCCTGCCAACACCTTCCTTTCAGCCTTCAAGACTTCAGAACTGTGTGAGACAGCGTTTATCCATTGCTTTAAGTCCCCTCCTCCACCCACCCCCATTCCGGAAGCCCTGGACATTGGTCCAGGGGGTCTGCAGGACACTATTTCAGACAGTCTGCAGGACACTGGTCCAGAGGGTCTGCAGGGGCCTTATGCCCTGCCTCTCTTGGACATCACTGGCATTCACTTGCTCTGGGGCTCAGGTTTGCCTTACTGGGTAGTCAAGGGCAGCCTCTGCCTAAGTTCCCCCTTTTGCTTGCTCTCTGGCTCCTTGTATGTTTTTTCTTGTACAAAAGATCCCCACTGGAAGACAGGGTTCAGTACCATCATGCGATTTTGCCTTCTCCCTTCTCTGCATTTCAAGAACACTTTCAAGGGCCCACATGATTTCCCAGTTAAGATCCAGATGAACCTTGAATGCCAGCCCTTCTACCTTTCATCTGGCTCTCTCTGAACAGGTCTTTCCTCAGATCCAGGCTGAAGCCATATTGTGGATGCAATTTTCCCATTTCCTAGCTCCTGCATAATCTTTGAGAGGAAAACAAACTATCATCAGCAACGAAAAAGAAAATAGCAGGCTGCGTTTTAAAACGAAGGCCCTCTTTCCTGAATGATGTGGTGTGTTGTGAACAGAGGCTTCCTTCTCCTGGACTTGGGCATATTAAAGAACAGTTTCCATTTGAGAAAATAAAGCCTCCCACTTAAAAGCAGCTTGACAATGAGATTTTCGTTAGCAAGCTTTCGAGTCTACAGGAGGGTTTTTGTTTTTGTTTTTGTTTTTGTTTTTGCCCAGAAAAGATTGGTTTCAAACGGCCTTATTACTTAATCTAGTTTTTGTTTGGGGCTAAATTTTTAGTGTGATCACAAGGAAGGCACTGTTTTGAAATCCCCAGGGTGAGTCCGGAGACATGACCCAATTCCTGAGCCCTGTGCTGGTACCCTGGTTTCCAGGCCTAGGGACTCAGCTGGCAGCAATTCTGTTACATGTCTGAGCATAGACTGTCTTTTAGTCTTCAGGGATGTCCTCAGCCTAGAGTGACTGAAGAGAAGATATGTACTGCCCAGCTTTCCCATCCCTTCTGTGCTGTTAGTAACTATGGAAACATCTTTGGGACACTTAAAAGCACAAACATAAAACTTTCAGAAGAAATGTTAATTTTGTCTTCTTGTTTTTGTGTCATTTCTTAGTCCATTGAGTGTCTTTCAACTTCTAGTTCTTGGCGTTTATACCTGGAGAAATTGGAGGGAATTTTAGGCTACTTATATCTTCTAGACAATACTCTCTCTCTGTCTCTCTCTCTGTCTCTCTCTCTGTCTCTCTCTCTGTCTCTGTCTCTCTCTGTCTCTGTCTCTCTCTGTCTCTGTCTCTCTCTCTCTCTCTCTCTCTCTCTCTCTCTCTCTCTCTCTCTCTCTCTCTCTCTCTCTCTCTCGTGAGTTATAAAGCAGCATACCTTGAACCAGCAGTTACAAGGGCACGACCAGAACAAAAGTTTCTGTTTCTGTTCCAGTTAACTGTGTTTAAATGTGTGACTGGGGTTCTGCTCGACAGGTAACCTTGGGTCCTAAGATTCTGTGGTGCCGGATAGCTGGGTAATAAATCTAGGAGGGGGCCGGGGGACACTGCTCCCTTCATCTGACCAGTTTTCTCACTTCAGTACTCACAGGATTTCCGAAGAGTTAGCCTAGTGATCTCCTGAAGCCTGGGAGGGTTTTCCTCTGCCCAGGAGGATTTCTTGGGCTTCAGCCAGGCACCAAGAAGAGGTGCTATCTTGCCTTTGCCTATGGAATGTGCTAAAGCATTTTTAAAGTTGTTTGTAAAAGCAGCACCAAATAGTTGAACTCCATGGAGACTCCTGTGTGCTGGTTGGCATTACTTCTTGAGTTGGGAACACAAATTTCTTTCTATTTCCCATCTCGGGAATGAATGATGTATATTTTGTTGGAAATAATCTCATGATACCTCAAGAGAAATATATAATGTTTGGGAGTGTGTAGTTTTTTTCTTTTTCTTTTTTGATGTTTGTTTATAAAAATGTTGAAAGTGCAGGAATCCCATAGAGGAGCCTTAGTATATATTTGGAGCTCTGACTTCAGTTTACCCATGGCAGTCTACCTTGTTCTAATGTCCTTGAGCTGAAAATGCAGCAAATGCAGATAGATCTTGTTTGCAGTTAATCGGTCTCAGGCATTTTGTTGAGTTAATTGCCCATCTGTTAATATTGTCTCTGTTGCACAGTAAGTAGACACTTCACAATCCTTTCTATTTTCTTTAAAAAACAAAAGGTAGTTTTTGTTTGTTTGTTTGTTTGTACCTTGGGTTGTTTTCTGGACAGAACACAGGACCAAGCATTTCAGAGAAAACTTTGTTTGCCTGCGCCTCCGCACAGATGATTTTTCTGCTCAGTCAGTGTGGTGCTTGAAAAGAAAAAGAAAAATGTATTATTTACTTCCTCATTAGGATGCTTTTTTTTTTTTGAGACAGGGTTTCTCTATCTAGCCCTGGCTGTTTGGAACTTGCTCTGTAGATCAGGCTGGCTTCAAACTCAGATCTGTCTGCCTTTGCCTCCTGAATGCGGAGATTAAAGGCACAAACCACTACACCCAGGTAGGATGCTTAGTTTTTAACATTATCATAGGTTCATATAAACTAGAAATTTATTATCTTAAGGTTTCATTACTTTTTTTGTGTATGTGTGTTTGCATGTGCATACATGTTCATATGAACTTCGCACATGTGTGAAGGTCAGAGACAACTTGTGTTTACCAAATGACAGTTTACCTTCCAATGTCCTTGAGCTAAAAAATGCAGCAAATGGCAATACATTTCCTTTGGCCTTGTTGGTTCTGGTGGCTGTTCTCAGGCTGCTGTTGGAATGGTCGCAAGTGCTGCCCCCCTCTGTCTGGAATGTTCTTCCTTCCTAGCGTGTTTCATGTAGTTCACTCTAATCTTTCAGAAACTGTTTCCCACCATTCCCTGCCTGGATCACTTCCGATAGTTCCCAACCATAATTTCATGATGTGCTTGCTGATGTATGTCTGGAAGGCGCTGTATCCCTGGTGGCTAGAACAGTGTCTGGCATTGAGTAGACATTGGGAATTTTCTTATCAATGATGTCACTCTAGAGGTGAAAACAATGGTCTGAGTTAATTTTACCAAATACTGAATTTAGTCTACACTCTTTTCTATAAGGACTATTAATCTACTGACCTTAGGAAGTAAATATAAGATGTATGCTTTCATAAAAATATACAACTAATGGTTTATTTGTGATAAATGTATAGTACCCCAAATTAAGACCTGCCTCTCATTTGTAACTCAGGTTAGAAGATCGTCTAGTAGCTGTACACACGTTGCCACATATATTTGTCCTGAAAAGCAGGACGGTGTCTAACTGTGGGATCTTAAGGTTTGATTTCTGTTTTCTCTTAGCTTGGTTTTGTTTCTTTATTTTAAAAGTAGCTGAAGAGCCGAGAGCGAGAACATAGCAGAGAAGAGCTGAAGAGACAGAATGATCTGGGCTCATTCAGAAAAAAAAACTGGCAGAGTAGGTCATTTGAAAAGGAGGCTTCTGTAAATCGGAAGCTGTTGTTTGTAACTTCAGGAAGGGAGCCCGAGGTGTTTTTTTTTTTTGTTTGTTTGTTTGTTTGTGTCTGTTTTGCCCTTTCTTTGCCCAATACCAAGAAATACTGGGCCCCACTCAAGCCAGTCAAGCACTTCCCCACAGAGCTCTCTCCCAAGCCTCATCGCTGTTTGTTTATATTGAAACAGAATCTTACTATGTTGCCCAGGCTGGCTAACTTTAGTAGTTCTCCAGGTCTCTAGAGTAGCTGGGACTACAGACTTGCACCAGCAGGTCTGGCCTGGTCCTTGTTGATTGCAGTAGTGTTTTCTCCTGAACAGAAACTAAAGAATGCTTAGTTTGAGAAAGTGTTACATTCACCTCTGTGTATTTTTCCAGGGAAGGTTTTAAGAACTGAAAGCCACAATTCCCTGGATGACTTGAGGAACAGAATACGACCAATCGATGATCAAGGTGGGTGTTAGGTGAAATGCCATAGCTAAGAAAAGAATACAAAGCCACAGGAGGACTACACTTTGTGATCTTGAGAAACTGCATTTCCTTTTACAGATACTTGATTTTATAGAAATCATTGCAAATAATTACTTTAGCGCTTCTTTTTCACATTTTGTGTTACCATAAACTAATAAATTATTGGCTGTGGTACTTTCAAAGCTCAGGGTGAGAGCATTGTCTTGTTTGTTTGTTTTTTGTTTTTTGGGGGGGTTTGTTTTGTTCTCTCAATAGATGTGAACTGCATCTTGGCAGTTCTTAAAAACTGTTACTAACCATCTGCTCCCAAATCAGGGGTGGAAAGAACCTTTGGTGTGTGTGTGTGTGTGTGTGTGTGTGTGTGTGTGTGTGTGTGTGTGTGTGTGTGTGTACATACATTTTAAGAAGACAGTACAGGATTGCATTTGGGAAACATTGATTCTTGTTCATGCTCCATCCTTACTACAAAAAGTGTATGGCCATGGACTAGTGATGCTGGAATCACCTGGTGGAGCCTGCTAGAAGGAAGGATGATGAGGTTTTCCATAAGACCTGCAAAATCAGAATTGGCATGCCCAGCTGATGCCAATGGTTTCTAACTGCTGCTCTGCGAACCCTGTCAAGTAGGCCAGGGAGCAGAGTGTCTTTAGTAACAAGTGATTGGCCCATGGAGAAACCTGTTATTATTTTTCGGTATCCTAAATCTTAGGAAATTCTCCTAAGGAAGGACCTCAGACCTAGCTCTGTGAGTAGCTTTCAGAAGAGATCGGGCGTGTTCAGGGTGGCATGGCCATAGACATGAGCTTTCAAACCACATAGTTCCTCCTCATGAAGATCCTTTAAACATGAGACTAGGCTTTTTCTCCTGAATTATTTTCTCTGGGTGTGCCTCCATCTCTATCTCCCAAAGGGTTTGGGGATGACATTATTTTCTCTGGGTGTACCTCCATCTCCATCTCCCAAAGGGTTTGGGGATGACATTATTTTCTCTGGGTGTACCTCCATCTCTATCTTCCAAAGGGTTTGGGGATGATATAATTGGCCATTTCTTTATCTGTTCAGACTAAATAACCTTAAGAGCTTTTCCGGCATTACAGTCAGAGTTCTTTTACTCCAGTTAGTCTTAAGTAGTAGCTAGTTGAAGGTGTGAGAAACCCAGGAACTTGGTGTCCTATATATGCATGAAGAAAAATTCTGTACAAATTTATCTGGATTCATAATTCATAACAACAGAATTTTGATGTTATATGTAAGGGTAGTCACCCAAAGTTTCACTTCTGAGTTCTAAAAGGCCCAACTTCTTGGTACTTGGAAAGAGAAATGTATATAGTATATAAAAACACCATTTTTCTCTTTTTCTACAAGTTAGAAAAAACTCTATGGCTCAGAGCATCCACTGATTTATGTTTCCCAGCAGTCTGTCACACTGTATGTTTAGACATACACTGAATTAGCCTTAGTGTTCTCAACTTTGAAATCTATTATTGGTGGATGCTATCTTTGCCTGGCACTCAGTGATTTTATAATTAGCTTAACTTTTGCCTAGACTTCACTAATAAAAGTCACTCTATTTTTGTTTTTGTATATCTGTTTTCTAAGGCTCCCCCCATGTCTTTAACAGAAGCCAGCATGTGGCTTTGTGGCTTTTGTTGGTTAATCTGTGTCCCAGTTAACCTTGTATGTAAGAAAAGCTGTATGAGGAGCAGCCTCAAATTTCTATTTTAGGACGTGGCCCACGGCACATCTGACACTGGCTGCAGGCTGTGCTCATACCGTGCCCATGCTGCTGTCCAGCTCTATCTCAGTATCCTGTTTCGGTTCTCCCCAACCCCTATTCATCTTCCTTCCTTCCACTCTTCACCTTCTAAGACTTTGAGAACTCATAGCTCTGCCTCTCACTTCTGCATTTAACAGTAAAGCTGTGTGTGTGTGTGTGTGTGTGTGTGTGTGTGTGTGTGTGTGTGTGTGTGCATCAATACGTGCAGACAGGTGCGTGTAGAAAACCTGAAAAGGAAACAGTTGCTTTTACTTCCATCTTGCTTTTGGATTGAGCTGAATACAATATTTTTCCACAGCAGTTGAGCTAGATCCTCTGGAAAACCAGTCTGGAGGGACAGAAATGTAATGTGGGGCTTTCTTGACTGCTGGGTTTTTTTTGTGTGTGTGTGTGTGTTTATTTCATTTAGGTTTTGTGTTTAGTAATCTCATTCCATAAAGCAGCTTTTAGGAAATCACAGATGATCTGACTAAAACAGTGTTCTTATTATATTTGTTAATGGCTTCAGCTTCTTGCGGCCCAGCCATTCCTTAAATGTGCCATCTGTGTTTTGTTTCAGCACTTGCAAGTGAGGCAGCAGCATACCCCCCCATCTTGGATTATTTCTAGAATCAAGACCTCCGAATGTCAGCAGTCGGCTCCTAATGCGTTCCATCGTCTTCCATCCCTCCTCACTACATTTTTCAGAAAGAGAGGGCCTTCGGGAAACACACCCTAAAAGTGCAGGTGGGTGGGGGCAATGCAGCATCGTCTTGGGTCCCTTAGATGTGAGCTGCTACCCTGGCAATGTGGAGTGACTTGCAGGTGGTGTTGATGTGTCTGTCTCCAGCTGCCTGCTGTTTTTCTCCTTTCCAGTTCTGCAGGTGGCCAGGAAGCCCAGGAGACATAAGCCAATCAGTTCCTCTTCAGCCTATCCAGAAGGCAGGCTACAGAGACCGGGAAGCTTTTTTTATTTTTTGGTAAGTGTCAAACACCAGCTCATTATTTATTCTGAGAAAGCTTTAGAGCAAAAATACGCATCAGGAATCAGCTACTTAAACAAATAAACAAACAGAAAACCCATGAGCTCTTGCAAATTTGTTACAGCACAGCCGTTTAAACCTTTTATTCTGCGTTGTCTCTGTGTGTATCTGTGTGCTCCTGAGCGCCACTGTGCATGCTTGTGTGCCAACACGCGTGCCGTGGCATGTGTGTAGAGACCAGTGGACTGGTTGCAGGAGTCAGTTCTCTCCTCCTACCATGTGGGTCCTAAAGACCAAGTTGTAGAAAGTGCCTTTCCCTACTAAGTCAGTGGTTCTAAACCTTCCTAATGCTGTGACCCTTTAATACAGTTCCTCATATGTGGTGACCCCAGGCATAAAATTGTTGCTTTGCTACTTCATAACTGTAATGTTGCTACTGTTATGAATCATAATGTAAATACCTTACATGGTCACAGGTTGAGAACCATGGCACTAAGTCATCTTTTGGACTCAACATTTCCGTCTTATTTGGAGATCTTTTTGTACAGGACTTATCTTGATTGAGAATATTATGCTTTAGCAGCCCTGGTAATTTAAATATTCACTGTGCTTTTGGAATTGAGAATTTATTGAGTTTTTCTTTTCATTTTTCCTTTTTTTTTGTTTTTCTGAGACAGGGTTTCTCTATGTAGCTTTGTAGACCAGGCTGGCCTCGAACTAGCAGACATCTGCCTGCCTCTGTCTCCCGAGTGCTGGAATTAAAGGCGTGTGCCACCACCACCTGGCTGAGAATTTCTTGAGTTCTAATTTATTAATCCTGAGATTATTTGTGGTATTTTATAGCCCACCCCTACCCTCAGGCTACCCCTGGGTCACTAGATTGAGCAACACTTCACTTTAGTGAACCTAGACTTGAATGGTCAGATGAGATCCTTGATTTCTTCCTGCTTCCAACCTCCTGATAGAATCTGGCCTGTAATCTTCTTGATTTTGCCTTTTTTGTCAGTCTTTCCATTTTCTGGCATCAAGGAGACGGAAGGATTTTGAGAGTCCTTAGAATAACGAAAATCATAGCTTGAAGTTCCAGCCCTGCTACAGACATTGTAGATGTCCTCGGGCAGGTTTCACCCTTTCTGTGTAGTGTCTCCATCTGTACGAGAGGGGTGACAAAATAAATACCCATTTTTAGAGGCTGACTTTGACTAAAGGTTTCTACATCTAGAACATTCAGATCAATTTTGCAGGTAAATGTTTGGTAAATTTTAGCTATTGTCAGCTGCTGCTGCTCTTGCTGCTGCTCAGTGTGCTGACTGGGTTTTGTCGACTTGACAGGCGGGGGTTGTTTGGGAAGAGGAAAGCTCAGCTGAGGAAATGCCTCCACTTGTGGGAGGGCCTCGCCCCTTGTGAGCTGAGCTGCTTTGGGGCAGGTGGGTTCTGCGATGAATGAAATAGCTATGGGGAGTAAGCCAGGAAGCAACATTCCTGCATGGCCTCTGCTTCAGGCCCTGCCATCCGACTTCCCTTGATGAGAGATTGTAGTCTGGGATGCACAATAATCCTGAAATGAAACTCCCCAGTGTTTGATCAGGGTTTGCTTTTGGCCACTGTTTTATCATAACAATAGGAAGCAGAACACTGCGTTCATGTTTATCCCTCTGGATCCTTTTGCTGCCCTAGAGCTTGTATGACTCTAGTCTTCACCCTTACCTTTAAACGTGCTGGGCCACAGTGTCTGCTTCCACATCTAGAACATAAAAGTTGACTCTTTCTCAACACAATAAGAGATCTTAGTATAAGATGAACGTATTTATCAGCTTAGATTATTTGTAAAGTTCTTGATTCTAGTTACTATTTTTAGAAAATTTGAAGCAAGGTTTAGTGATAAACACCGGTAATCCCAGCAACTGGGGAGTGGAGGCAGAAGGGTCAGCTGTGTAGTGAGCTTGATGGACAGCTAGCTGTGGGATACCTTTTCAAGAAGAAAAATTTGAAATGCTGATTATAAATAGGGATTTGCTCAATTTTTGTTATTTCTCAGTGTCTGGTACTTTTTATTATGAAAATCATAAGAAGGCATAGTTTCCCTAGCAGAAATAGGATTTAATTTTGGATTTGGCCAAAGAATTCCCATGATTGTTTTGAATGCCTTTTAGTTTACATTCAGAAACTTGGGGTTAAGGAAGACTTCCTGACAGTAGACACTTCAAAATGTCAATTTTACCATACAGACATAATCGTTACTGGGGTAATGGCAACATCATTTTTGAAGCTATTAGCATTATGTCACGTGTTCTGTAAGATCTTTACCTCTTGGGTTTTCAAGATAGTTTTGGGTAAAGACTTATATATAGCCAGTTTCACTAATTGTAAAAGAAACAATTAAAATAAGATTTAAAAAGTTCTTATAACCAGCCAGATGCTTCAGCTACATTGTTACTTGTAACACTTGTGTTACATAGCATCATTACTCCCCCATTTTATAGAGGAAAAAGAGACACAAAGAAGCTAAGCAAATTCCAGGGTCTTTTGAGTATGTCAGGAATTGCCAAGGCTCAAATTTAAGGATTCAGCCGCCAAACAGGCAATCTAAGCATCCAATTATGTTGCTGCCTACAGACTGTAAATGGCATGAAGATGTCGAGAAGCAAATGGGAGGGATAAGGTATATAGAAGTCTAGAATTCCGGGCTCAGTGATTTTATGGGTGTGTGATAGGATAGCCAGTGAAAGTTTCGCCGTGGGTTCATGGTAAGCTGGGGCTGACTGACTACACTTGGAGAACTTTATGCCAGCTCTCACACATGGGCTGGTTTAAAGGGAGGATTAGAGATCATTCCGAGTAGCTGAGTGAAACAAATGAGCATGAGGGTTTGAGAAACAAGATTAAGATAGCAGCCTGGGAGCCTGAATGTTGAGGGGCTGGGGTGGAAAGTGGAGCTCTGGAAGCCCATGCAGAGGAGAGACATGAAACCCAGGCTCCACCCAGAGGGAAGTGGGCCAGACATTTAACACCCTGGAGTTCAGCGAGAATGGGACCAAAGAGAGGCCAATGATGTTAGCATTATCATTTCTTTCCTTACTGATTATTCACTGAATGACTAGGTGCTATTGTGCCTTCACCAAGACAGGAATTGTGCAAAGGGGAGGGGTCTTCATCCACATGAAAAGGCTGTGCTGTTTGGAGACTCAGTTACTTGAGGTTAAACACTTCTGCACAGGTTTCTTTTTTGCATCCTTGGCTGCTCTTCTCCAGTTTAGTACGTAAGGCCTCATTCTGCCTAAGTGTCCTAAGCTTTTGATCTTAGATTTCTATCTCTAAGATTGTTATACTTGGATACAAGTTGTAAACAACAGTAACAGGAAATATACTATTGTCAGTGTTTGAATGGTGATTCATTTGGCACTTTTAAAAAGACCTTTCTGTCACACTTATTTCTATTTGTTTTTATTTATATACTTATTTATTTGGTGTGTGTGTGTGTGTGTGTGGAGAGAGAGAAGAGAGACAGACAGACAGACAGAGAGAGGGGGGAGGGAGAGATGGAGAGAGGGAGAGAGAGGGAGAGAGGGAAACTGGCCAAAGGATAACTTGCAGAAGTTGATTCTGACCATGTGGGTCCTGGGGGTTGAACTCAGGTTCTAGAGGGGATGGGGATCTATGTATTTCCTCCCCAAAACATGAGTAATGTCAGGGGACAGTGGTACTGGTAGTGTCTGGTGAGTTTACAAATAAACCATAGACATTCCCTGCTATGGGGAGTGGATCTTTTCTTCAATTCCTCTTATCCTCAAAGGGTATTTGATTTGTTTCTTCAAAGAAAATTCTATTTGCCATTTTGAAAGATGCCTAAAGGCTGAAGCATGGCAGTTGCAAGGAACTTCTGAAACCTCAAAACCCCTAGTTTGCATGTGGGCCTGACCCTCTCAGTGGGGTCCTGTGACTTCCAGCAGGGGTTTGTAAGCATAAATCACCCAGGGCCTGCAAAAGTCCCTCTTCTGACTCCACAGAGGACAAGAGTGTGCATTTCTGTTGCCTTCCTGGTAATGCCAAATTCTGGACCATGCTGCAGTACCAGGAAAATGAGATAGTTTCCCTTTACCAGTAACAGATGACCAAAATGACTTCTTGTAGCATCACTTCCATACCCCACTGAGTGCCTTTCTCCAAATCCTGGCATGCCTATGCATTATGTTTAACTTCATGCACATACTCAGTATATTAATACATTTAGAGCTTCTTTTGTTTGGTGGTTTTGTGTTATGCAATAGCACTGGTAACTTAGTTATATTTTTTCTATAATAATCAATTGAAGCAAATATGTCATTTAAAAATAGGTATCAGAATGCAATGTGAAGTCTTCGTATAAAGTTAAAAATATTTACTATACTGTCTAGGTGTTATTTCTGTTGCTATGATAAACTACTGACCAAAACAAACATGGGGAGGAAAGGCTTTATTTGGCTTATAGGCTCAGTCAGTCAAGAAAGGAAGCCAAGTAAGGAAATCAAGGAAGTAACTGAAGAGACCACGGAAGAACACTACTTACTGACTTGGTCCCCAGGGCTTGCTCAGCCTTGAAAGCCTATTTTTCTACAACCTAGTCCCACTCAGTTAGGAGTGGAACCACCTTCAGTGGACTGGGTCCTGCCACAGTCAATCATCAATCAAGAAAATTCAATACAGACTCACCCACAGAACAATCCAGTGGACATGCTTTCTCAGTTGAGTTCTTTCTTCCCAAATGTTTTCTAGCGTATGCCAAGTTGACATGAAACTATCCAGCATGCATAGCTTGCTCAGCTTGGTTCCTTGTATACCAGAACCATAGTGAGCTGGGCCATTCCAAGCAAGCAGATGCCTCGCAGGCATGCGCAGAGGCCAATCTGATGAAGGTAATTCTTCAGTTGAGGTTCCTTTCTTCACAGGTGACCCTAGTTTGTGTCAAGTTGACAAAAACTTGCACTTCCACTGTCCATGAAAACATATTTCTAAGTGCT